AAAGCTAAACATTTTTTTATTTGCGTAAGTGAAACACCAAATTATTATTATTTTTTGTACTTTTTTCATCTTGTGTTGTGTATATTTTTATAAAAATATTGTATACATACCAACATGTTGTATCTTCAGTAAATAGAGGTGAGAAAGGCTAAACAACGACTGTTATACTAGCTTGTATGGTGTAGGACATGGCATATCATACATAAACACCATACACAGCTTTGTTTTGGTGTGGGACACTACATACCTTCTGTGAATATTTCAAAAAGAAAAAGGATGCTAGATTTATTGATTGATGATGCACTATCAGAGGGGCGGACGCAGGTGTTTAGTACACCCTGTTAAAAAAAAAGGCGCCAAAAACCATGTTCTAAGTGACGCAACTTAGTCCACTGTGCAAACAAAAAAAATTAAAAGATAAAGGAGGGAGAGGGTAAGTAAAAACTTTTGTGACTGGAGAAAAAAATCCATATCTTATTTTTATTTTTCTTAATGCGAGTACAATTCAAAATTAAGTTAGCTAGTCATCAATTTATTATTTAGCATTTTAACTAATACGATCCTTAAAAAGGTTAAAAATTAAGAAACAAAAAAAAGGGCATGACTCGAATAATTTTGGTCATTTTTCAACATAAAAGAAATAAAAGTTACGCTAGTTTTGAATCGACTTGGTAAAACACTGCTGTAAAGTTTTGAATTAATTAATTCAAAACTTTTTTATTGTACTCTACTTGTCATGGTTTTACAAAAGTATTTTTTTTTTCGATACTTTATTTAAATCCTAATGGCGTGCATTTCCAACCAATCAAATGATAAATTATGGAAAAAATCGTAGGTGTAAGTAATGGTTTTATGAAGTTTATTATGTTAAATTAGGAACAGAGTTTTTATGTAAACTTATTGTTAGCCATGATTATATTTGAACATTTTATGATCCATGATTATATGTCTTGTAGTTGAATATAGCTTGTGGAACAATTTTTTAAAGTGATAGTTAGATTTGAACTATGTGTTAGCGGAGAAGAAAGCTCTTCTAAAGAAGCTAACTCTTTTTTAAGCTAAAGCTATTATTTTTTTATAAATTATTCTTAATATTTTTTATTATAAAAAATAATGGCTTAAGTTTCTTATTTTTACTCTTTAGTTTCAGTACATATTCTGTCTCGTTTTGCCCCGGTGAAAGGTGAGAAACTTGAGATAAGTTGTAACTATTTTTAAAATTTTCTAGTTATCCAATTAAAATTGATTTAAAAAAGTTACTCATATTATTTAAAAGAGTCATCATAAATAGGCTTGTTTAGATTTTTTGCTCAATTCCAGGTCTATTTACATAATTTTTAATCCTTAAGTGTATCGTACAGCCGCAAATCACCGTTCTCATACGCTGTGACAAATATAATAACATATGTTATTATATTTGTTGCATTTGTTATATATATATAAATATAGTAACATATATTATAATATAATAACTATGTTATCATATTTGTTGCAGCATTGAATTAAAATAATTGGCGCAGTTGCTCCACGTTAAGTCCGCAGTACATCCTGAACGTGAAAGCTTCTATTATTACTGGTCAGTTCAAAAAAACCTGGCTCATCCTGTAGCCTGGGAGTAATGTCATGCTTTATTTATATTATTTCTCTATTGTCATGATATTTTTTTTCTTAATTACCTACCTGACACTTTGCTGCATCCACCATTTTTTACCTCATTTACTTATTTTGGCATAAGATGGAGCTTTCTTCATTGTTCTTATTTTAGCTGAATACTTACTCGGCATCTGAAAAAAATAAATAACTTTAAACATGAGTTTAAAAGAAACACAAGTAAGTACTTAATCCTCGAAGTAGGCATCTATTTCAAAAAGACAACCATCCCGCCACTTTCCTAAACTGTATTATCTCTTATAAAAAATTACTTTCAAAAAATTTCTTAGCGAATCAATGATATATTAAGAATAACTGTTTATTGTGGTATATTAAAAATAACTATTTATTTACTGATATTTTTAATATATCATTGGAGCGAATAGATGTAAAACCAATGACGTATAAATATAACTAGATGCGTAATTTGAGTTAAAAAGTGTAAGATTGTTGCCGTACCGCAACGGCAAAAATCTTAAATTCTGAACGCGTTACATAGGGATATATGACTAATTTAAACAATGTAAGTTTTTAAAGAGATTAAATTTTTAAAAATTTTAAGTGCAATTACTTCTTTTTGAAAATTTGCTGCTAGACTCAAATTACCAATCACCATTAGACTCAAAACGTCAAAAATATTACCTCGAACTTATTCAAGTAATAAAAGCAAGTCATCGACTTGGTTAAAAAAGAATCTTTTTGTTAAAAGGCTTTAAAAATTTACAGGTTTTGATTCATGCTTATTTTGAATTGAATACTTATAAATGTACCTTTTATTACTATACAATCTACTGTTTTATTTTAGATTTTCTACTGTTAAAATATGATTTTAATTTTGTAAATTTTCATGATTTAAAATTTGCTTTATTAATCATTATAGGTGCCTCAAGAACCTTAAACATCTAACGGTGTCTGATCTCAAATAAAATGAAATTATACTAAAATCTGAAATATATATTATATCAATAATAAAAAATTAATCAAAATTTCATGACTAATTATTACTTTGTTTTTATAGTCGCGTCATGTTTTTGCCGTACCGCAAAATGGCGGACGCTGGCTTCACTAAGTTATACGCAAAAAGCCGCATCTAGTTATATTTATACGTTAGGGGTCGTCCATAAATTACGTCATGTTATAAGGGAAAGGGGGGTTGGTGGTTTTGTGACGACTCATTCAAAACTCGCTTCTTAAGTGTTACGATTTTGTGACGAGGGGGGGAGGGGGTTGAAAACGGTCAAAAATTGCGTGACGTAATTTATGGACAACCCTTAGTGTGCTCGAGCGAGTTGTCTATATTTTTGTCTCAAGACTCGCATTAGCGAATTAAAGACGTTCGACGGCAACCAAGATATGACGATTCTTATTTTCGGTATTCAGTTTAAATGGAAAATAGAAAACAGAAATAAGTTTTTGAAGTTACTTTCTTTTAATTTAATTATAAATATATTTTATAGCTGTAGATATTATTGATTTAAAAAAATTTGTAACACAAGCAATTTTTAATGAAAAATTGGATGCATCCTATACAATACCAGTTTATTCAATAAATTAACTTTTTGAATGAATTTTAATCGGCAGCCTAAAACAAAAGTGGATCAAACCATTTTTATATATGTACATATTTTGTGATAAAAAAACCCTGCTCTATGTTAGATTTTATCAAGTTTACTTTGAAAGAAATAGTTTTTTGTGATTATCTCAAAAAAAAAAAAAAAAAAACTTATGCTAATTTTGCTTTTAGTACTAAAAGCAAAATTAGCATAAATTTGTATTTATTTTTTGAGATATATACTATAGTACTACATACATACTAAAGTACTACATATATACTATAGTAATACATACATACTATAGTACTACATACTATAGTATGTAGAAATGCTGAAATAAACAAAGTAAATATTTTATTTTGTATGATTTTTACTCTTTTAATGTTAAGCTAATATTAAGTAAATGCTTATAATTTATAAATATATTTGTTATAATATATTTGTTATAATGTTAATTAATATAATGTTAATTTATATTATTTATAAATATTTATATTGTTTATAAGTTATATTATAAACATTAATAAGTTATAAATGTTAATTTTGTACCAAGTAAATGTTTTTTAAAAACAAACTGAAATTTGATAAGTAATTTTTTTCTAATTTATTGTTGCTGTGTTTTTTTAAGAAGAGCAAACACTATTTTGCGGTTCTCTCTCATATTTATGTCAATGTAAAAAAAACTTGTTGTTGCTAATTCACGCACTTATGAATTAGTAATGATGATTCAATTATTTTTTTCTCTAATGTAGAGAAAAAAATATTTCGGTGAACTGCAGTCACCCCTTTTTTTAGGGGTTAAGGTTAGGTTGAATTATCCCCTGCTGTGGGGTTACTTGAACCCAAAGTGTGAAAAACCCTGCCCCTTTTGAAGTCTCTGTCAAATCTCTCGGATAAATGTTAATGTCATCTAATAAAGGCTTTTGCCAATTCTTCAACCCTTGGAATTAGGGTCGGCAAAAATTGCTGACCTCATTTCTATGTTTTATGTTCAGACCTTTGTATCAAATAATTTTTGCCGACCTAAAAAAGATTGAGGTTGGCAAATTATTGCCCACCTCATTTTTCCTAATTACGAGGGTTCCCCATTTGACACCTGGGAGATTTTCATTGAAACATTGAACATCACTCCCTAATCAACCTAAATAGGAATTCACAATAATAGGAAGATCAAATGAGGTCAGTGGGTAGCTAAAAGTTTAAACTTTATTCAAGCAATTACAAAATAGATATTCTTCTTCAGACATGAAAGACAGCTGGATGCCCTGCATGTTTCTTTGTGATAGTAAGGTGTCATCTTCGAAGAGCTCTCCTAGTGCAGGAGCAGTTAATTCTAAATTGTTCTTTAAATCGTTGGCTGATAGCTCCACTAATCTTTAATTTTTAGATCCCAATTTTCTTTTATATCTGCGAACCATTCTGGTAGAACCAGTTATGATAGCACGAAGTATACGCAAAAAGGTGTATAACAATAGCTTTAACCATCCATCAACATTATTTAGGTATTTTATAACCTAACAAATATTAAAAACATGGTTAAAAAAAACAGATATATCAACTCCTTTTGAATATATTATTATACTTTAGGGTTTAATGTTAATGGAAAACAAGTTTCATCATTTTTAAACATAAACTGCTACAATGACATTTGGGTCAAGTAGCTCTAATTTTGAACTTCAAATATAAATACAATTTTTTTTTATCAAATATATATATATATATATATATATATATATATATATATATATATATATATATATATATATATATATATATATATATATATATATACTATAGCATATAGATAAATTAGCATTAGATATGTTAAGTACTTTCCCAAATGAAATTATGCATGAAAGTTATGTAGAGGAAGTTACCCAACCACAATTGTGCACAAGTGAAGATAAAAATTGTTCAGAAGAGTTAAAATTGCCGATTTCAAATAAAAATAATGGAAACATGCTACATAGTATTGAAGCACTTGATAAAGATATTTTAAAAATTGAATCAACTTTATTAATGCTAAAGAAAAATGAAGTATAGTAATATATATGTTTATTAATTTTATAGTTTTTATTTTTTATTTATTTTTTTACTTTATTTACTTTTACTTTATTACTAATAATTTTTTAAATATAGTTTAATTTTTAAAATTAATTATTAATAATTGGAAATTTTTTTTATAGAATGAGATATTAGAAACTTTGCAGTGTCTTCGTGTTAAATTGCAAGCGGTTAAAGAAAAAAAAAAGGAAAAATCATTTATTGAAAAAGATCTTAGTTCAAAAAGTGAACTTCATTTAAAACTACTTGAGCGGTTTTCTTATAGAGATGTGGACACAATCAAACGGATTTACAGTGAAAATCAGGTGTGTGTAAATCAGTGTTTCAGAAATACTAGGTAAATGAAAATAATCATAATAAATTACTATAGATATAACTAGATATAAATTACAACTTATTTAAACACACAGTATGGTTTAACTTTAACACTGTTAAAGTAGACTCATAATAAAGATTAAAATAATGTCATCAAAATGTTTTGAATTTTTTTATGACAAAAGATTGTTTATTATTGATTTTTTTTTTTTTTTTTTTTTTGTGTGTGGGAAAAAATAACAATTTTTAAAATAATAAATTATAAATTAAATAAATTTGATTAATTAAATCAATAAAAATTTAGTTTTAAATAAAATAATTTATTTTTAGGCAAAAGCAGCAGCTTCTCATGGTTTAAAGTTTTTTAATAAAGATATGGAACAATATACGCTGGTATGTTTAATAAATTTTTTAAGCTAGGATCTTTTTCAGTACCAATTAGTTATTTTCCTAATTTATATGTTCAACGTTTTTTTGAATTTTTCAAACTTTTTTTATTAACATTGTTTTTTTGTTTTTGTTTTTTTGCAATTGCATTAAATTTTAAAATTATTTTATTAGTCTTATTAATTCTTATTGTTTAATAAAACAGGTATAAAATAATGAAAATGATTTTTAATTATCTTTTAATATTTAGGTAACTTATTTATAAGTTCTAAAAGTAATTTCCTTCATTTTTTAAAAATTTTCAGCCACTCTACAATAATCCATCTGATCTTCCACAATATCAACATAATATAAAAAGGTATTGCTTATAAATTTCCTAGAAAATTACATTGTTTTTTAAAGTCTTGATACTTTTAAAATATGCATTTTCTTTTAAATACTTGTTTTCTGGCGCAGAGTTATTTCAGTATGGTTTTTTAACTTTTCAAATTAAAATTCAAATTTAATTCACAAAGAAAAGAAACTTTTTAAATCGTGACATTAGAATGAGTTCTCAATTTTTTACTGTTAAGAGAATTTAACAAAATTTCTTATACTCTTCTCAATTTTTAAAATTAAAAATTTTGTTAATTTTGTTCAATTAAAAGATTAAAATATCAAACTTGAATTTATTGCTAAGAATACACATTATTTATTATGTCATATAAATTGGTACGATCAAAATAACATATCGGTAGATAAGAATAATGAGGTTCTATCTCCAAATTTTCACGACAAAAAAATTTTATTTTTTGTTTTTAATTATAATATTATATTTCTGTTCATTATGGTATAATTTTAATATATTAATCTTTTTATTATTATTTATATAACTCTGAAAATTGTTAGTTTTTTTTTTTTCATTGTCAATTTCAACCTTGTTTTATAACGTTGAAATTAACAATTAATTTGTGTTCAAGCATTTTAATAATTATGAAATTAATAATGTAAGGTTAATTATAAAACATAAATAACATAAACAATATTTATTTTATTAATATAAACAATAACTATAAAGTATTTTAATAATTAAAAATTGAAAGTTAAATTCACGCAACGTTAAAAATGGAGATAAAACCCTATTATTCTAACGTCATGAAATATGAAAACAAGAAGAAATGTGACACAAAATAATATAAAATAATAAATCATGTGAAACTAAAATTTTTTTAAACAATTACTCTAATTGAACCAAATTTCAAAGTAAATTTATCTTTAACAGTTTATTTTGATTAATGTTTTGAATTGTAATACCAAAAAAGAAATGGAAAGTTTAAAAAAAATTATGAAATAAAATTTAAAAATTTTTTAAAATGTCAAAAAATTCAGTTAAATGCTTCCAATATCATCACAAATTGTTCTACAAATAAACTTTCAGATGATAAGTCGGAACTCTTAAAAATAGTTTAGTTCCATCTAAACATCTGAACTCATTCAGTTTGAACTCCTTAATTAATTTCTTATAATAACTCAGAAACATGAACCTTGACAAATATTTGCTTTTTGGAGAAATATGATGAATGCTAATAAATTAACTAGAAACAAAATTAGTAAAGTTAAACAAAAAGTAAAGAAATTTGTGTACAAATTTTGAGAGTTGTGACAAGTTAAATGATTTAAGTTTTTTTCATTGTTTTTTTTTTTCTTTATTGTGTTACCTTCTACAGCTTGCGGCCCGGACAACATACCTGCTATAGTCTTGCAGAAGTGTTCTCCTGAGCTGTCGTCTATCTTTTCAAAACTATTCAACAAGTGCTTATCAGAGTCTTGTTTTCCAGCCTGCTGGAAAGCACCATCTGTTATCCCTATTTTTAAAAGTTTTGGAGAGCGATCTGACTTATCTAACTACCGTCCCATTAGTCTTCTTCCTATCATAAGCAAGGTTTTTGAATCTTTAATTAACAAACACTTAATCTCTCATCTCGAATCTCATAACCTACTTTCTGATCATCAGTATGGATTTCGATCTTCTTGTTCTACAGCTGATTTGCTATCAGTAATAACCGATAGGTTTTATCGCGCATTAGATAAAAGTGGAGAGGTTAAGGCCATTGCTCTTGACATTTCTAAAGCATTTGATAAAGTTTGGCATGCTGGTCTCCTCCATAAGCTTTCTTCTTATGGTGTATCTGGAAACATCTTTAAGATTATTGAATCTTTCCTTTCCAATCGTAGTATAAAAGTTGTCCTTGATGGACAGCACTCTTCTTCTTATTCCGTAACCTCAGGGGTTCCCCAAGGTTCAATCCTTGGCCCTATACTCTTTTTAATTTACATTAACGATCTTCCAGATATTCTCACATCTAAGGTGGCATTGTTCGCTGATGATACTACCATTTATTCTTGTCACGATAAAAAGCCAACTTCCTCTGATTGCTTGCAGGGGGCATTTGAGCTCGAAAAGGATCTCACTTTTGCTACAGCATGGGGCTCACAGTGGCTGGTGAACTTTAATTCAGATAAAACTCAATTTTTTTCAGCCAATTGTTATCGCAATAATTTAGACCTTCCTATATTTATGAACGGTAATGTACTCAATGAGTCTCCTACCCTTCATCTTCTAGGATTAACTCTTACTTCTGATCTTTCTTGGAAACCTTATATCAAATCCGTTGCAAAATTAGCATCTGCTAAAGTCGCTTCTCTTTATCGAGCTCGTCACTTTCTTACTCTGGATTCTATTCTCTATCTCTATAAATCTCAAATCCGGCCTTGTATGGAATACTGTTGCCATATCTGGGGAGGATCTTCTAATGATGCCCTTTCTCTTTTAGACAAGGTGCAAAAACGCATTGTAAACATAGTTGGACCTGCTCTTGCAGCCAACCTTCAACCTCTGTCACATCGTCGTAATGTTGCTTCTCTTTCTCTTTTCTACAAATACTATAATGGGCACTGCTCTAAAGAGCTAGCGTCTCTTGTGCCATCTACTAAAATTCATTCTCGTGTTACTCGTCATTCAATTAAGTCTCTTCTTTTTTCTGTTACTGTTCCTAAGTGCTCCAAAAACTCTTATTCGTCTAGTTTTTTTTCTCGAACATCAGTTCTTTGGAATTCGCTTCCTTCATCTTGCTTTCCTGATTTATATAATTTGCAATCTTTTAAGTCGTCTGTCATTCGTTATCTTGCTCTACAGTCTTCATCTTTTCTCTTCCAGTAACTTCCAACACTAATAAGTGGTTGCTTGCAACCTTGTTGGAAGCGAAGATAATTAAAAAAAAAAAAAAAAAAACACCTCCCAAGAAGAGGTCCCTAAGGTCTAAAAGCCCTCTCAACTCAAAAAACAATGGTGCTGGTTGGAGAAACAAGTTTCCATGTTATAGCTTACATAAAAAATAGAATACTGATTAAAAGTTATTAAGATTAAAAGTTAAATGTTATCAGGTTTAACATATTTACATTAAGTATATATGGTTTCCATGTGAGGTCAGTAGCCTTTGCCTAGCCACCTCCATTTAATGCACGAATCGCAGCAGTTAACAAGTCAGCTGTAGCACAAGAAGATGGAAAGCCATTGACATTGTTAGGTTGTCAGACAATTTATATTATTATAGTTGATTGACTTAAGAAAGGATATTAGAAATTTGTTAATCCAAGACTCAAAGATCTTGCTAATAATAGAAAAAAGACTGATCAGATTATAGTTGGAGGGATCAGGAGGTTTTAAAAATTGGAACTAAAGATGCCATTTTACAAAAAGAAAGGAAAACAAGATTCAGTAAAGCACTTATTAAATAGTTTAGAGAGAATTAAAAAGAGTTCTGTTGGGAACTCTTTTGTAAAGTTAATAATTCCTATGACAGGAGTGTTGTCTGGACCACAAGCTGTAAAAAAATTTAATTGAGATATGACTTTAGCAACAAACACTGACTTGAATGTTTAACAGTGGGTTAACCTGTTTAGTTGGAATGAAAGGAAGTTGATGACTATAAGATTCAAGAGTTGGATTAAAAGAAAAGTTTTTTGCAAATAGTTCTGCCTTATCCATGGAAGAGGTAATAAAATTAGTGCAGATGATGAGTATAAGAGTCTAAGAGATGTTAGACCTACCTTTGTTAATGATGCTATTGAAGATTTGCCAAAAGTCTCTAGAGCCTAACTCTGAGATAAGATATGAGATTTAGTAAACTGAGAAAAATGGAGCTTAGCATGAGACTGCACCTTTTTGGAGCAATTTCCTGCAATAATAAATAGGTATTTGTTCTCAAGAGAGTTATTTTTTTGAAAAGACAAAAAAAAATTATTACGATAATATATAGCAGCTGCACAAGAAGGTGAAAATCATAGAGTGGGATGAGACTTGACTGGCAAGAAGAATTAAAAGCTTCCATTCACTGCCTGAATCCAGGAGGTTACTTAGGAAGCGCATTTATCAGTGGAGAGAGAAAAGATATCAGCCAAAGGATCATCACAAAAAAAATCACAAAAAGAATCCCAGTCAGCTTTAGGGTAGTAGTAAGTAGTGCAATGATAGGGTGAGTCTGAAAAAGACTCACCCTATCATTGCACAAATTTTTTTTTGAGGTGCACAAATGTCAATGGCAGCTGATTTTATATTTTCGTAGTTTTCTAATGTAAAGTATTTTCTCACTGAATTGTTTATATTTGCATTTAAATTAAACTATTTTTTTTTCTTTCAGTATATACAGGAAGGTCGCTCAAACAAATTTTTTTTTGGAATGATTGCAGAGACTGTACAAGAGGACTAATAGTGACATATTTTGCATTTCCAGGTGCGAGTAGAAGGTGGCATTGCATACCTTTCCCCCACTTTGTGTAATAAGTTCTATTAGATCTTTGAATTTATTAGTATGAGCCCATTTCTTCATGATTTGTAAATGAGTTATTCTAAAAAAAAATTCAGGACAAATCTAGTTTTTAAATCCCTTACATTTTCTTGTGCGAGATTTTCACGGATCACATTCCAAACACCTGTATCTCTTTTACTCAACTCTTTGAATGTTTGCTTGTTTTTTATAGCATTTTTATGCCGAACTGAAGATAAATGGTTTGTTAAATGTTAAACAGGATGATTTGCAAAAACACAACCAGGTTTTTCAATAAAAGCCCTTGTAGCACCTTTAACAGCAATCAATTTGCACGTTTTGCAGAACCAACCCTTTAAGGTGGACGAAAAATAAAAATCTGGAAATTTTTTCTCACACTTTTCAGTCGACTTTAAGCATAAATCAAGTTTTAATTTCTTAGTTAACAAATCATTTTTATAACATTAGGTTTTGCTTATAAAGAAATAAAATATGATTTGTCAATCTTAAATTTTTACCTTTAACACCATTATGTAAAAAATTGTTTCATCAAAGGAAATGTTTCAAAAAAAAACAATTGTAAAAACGAGCTTGAATTTAAATTAAATTTTGAATGGCACATTTTTTAAAAATTCAATTTTAAAGTTTTATGATGATAGTTTTATGATGTAAATCAAATAGCAATATAGAATTATAAATACAAAACCACATCTACTGCAACAAGTTTCATTTGTTTACAAAAGAATATTGATAGTAACAAAGTATTGATAGCAACATGAAAACATTTTATTTTACTTTTAAATTTTAAATGCAAATTAACAGCAGCAACAACAACAACAACAATAAGCTATTTATTTTCCGTAAATCATTTTTACAATAGTATTAATAATAATAAAAATAATAATAATAAAAATAATAATAATAGTAATAAAGCAATAAAATATAATAATGTTGGAATTTTTAGTTTTTTGAAAGACTTTGATCTGATTTAATTGGTTGGAAGTTTATTATTCTAATGGATTGAGCTGAGATGAGAATAGAATCTTTGACTTTGATCTGATTTAATTGGTTGGAAGTTTATTATTCTAATGGATTGAGCTGAGATGAGAATAGAATCTTGTTAATGTGATTAATTTTCAACTTGACTCCAAATTTGACAACAATAGCTAAGATGAGATGAGAATAATGCAAAGTAAATATTCTTAAGTGTAACTTTATTGACAAAATAACAAATTATTGAAAGCATTTCGTTAGCTCTTGCTTAGTTCATCAATTTCTTGCTTAGTTCATCAATTTCTTGCCTAGTTCATCAATCTCTTGTTCAGTTCATCAATTAAAAAATTTCATTAAAATTAAAACGTTACCATTTCAAAATTAAAACAATTTTCGCTATAAATTCAAATGATTTTTTTTTAATTACGAAGTAAGCAAATGCATCAAGTATCAAAATAAAGTATATAATAAAAATAAAATTGTTGTAATAAAGATAACATTTGTTTTATTAAATCTAAAAAATTTATATTTCATAGGTGGGTTTAGCTTTTCAAAAAAGTTAGTCAGGAAATGGTACTTAGATCAGAAAGTGTTTTGAAATGAAAATTTCAAAACACTTTCTGATCTAAGTACCATTTAATTGGTTTTTAAATAACCATTTAAAAACCAAATAATTGCTTAAAAAAAGAGTGTAGTCTATGAGTCTAACAATCTAAACTCTAAACACCCTAATATTTAATTCAAAAATATTATTATCAATAAATTAAAACAAATCTAGTTAAAAAACAAAAAAAAATCTACCTAATTTAGAATTAAAAAAAAAAAATAACTAGAAGACATACCGTAATGTCCACATTAATCAGATTTTTTTAAATATCTGAAGTGGTTGACATAATCAGCTTGTCGATAGTTTTAATAAACTTTGTTGATGAAGTGCAAGTAGAGGTTTGAGTAAGTAAAAGTAAGAAGTAATTTTTATAAGTATATAATTTTTAAAGTTTATAAGTAAGTCACGGAAAAGTAAGGTTTATAAGGAGAAATCTCAATGTACAAGTAGTTTTTCCTTTATAGATCTTTGCAGTTATGCAATCGCAAAATTATGCCAAAAGTAGCAAAGTTTCATTCAAATAATGACTTAACACTTATTTTGTTATTTGTCTATTAGTATTTAATAATGATAAAAATTTGCAATAGTTTTTATAATTATGATGTTAATATGCTTTAATGTATTATTTGGCAAAGTTAAGTCCAAGAATTCTTTTTACCTTTAATTATTAGCATTTGGGAATACTGCAAATAACAGAACCTCACAAGGCTGACTAACACCCTGCAGAGACAAGACACAAATCATGGAGTGAAAGTAAATGAATAGGGTTGTCTGGAAAATGAGTCACAAAGTTAAATATCTGAGTAATAGACTGAGAAATGCAGAAGTTATAGGCTTTAGTGCCAGCAGTGGTCAGTGGTGTTAGAGCCATTCAGTGTGATGAGCATTAAAGCCACCAATAACAATATTGACAGAGGGGTAACAAGAAAGGGCATGGTCAATAAGAGCGGGTAAAGAGAGAAAATGGTCAATTTGATCAGAAATTACATCAAAAAAAGTACAGTTTTGAGAAGAAGGAGAACACAACCATTTAACAGAGTTTAATGGTTGTGAGGCTGGTAACTAGGTTTCCTGAACTCTGTGGCAGGGGATTTTTGAGTTAAAACTTGTTTCTCTTAGCCTTTGCCTAAATAAGCAAACCCAAAGGAGCAGAGCATGGGGCAGTTAGTACTGGGTTGCAGGTAGTACTGGGTTGCATGATACTAGTAGCATACTAGTATTCTGATGATCTTGAAGTCCACATTGCATCAGAGATTTAAACAGAGCACAAACATACATATAATAACTTATAGGTGAACCAACACTGTTCAGACAGAACACAAATATACAGATAGGAACTTACGGGTGAGTCAACACCATGCCAGAGACTTGAACAGAACACAAACATACACATAAAGCAATTTATGGGCGAGCTAACACAGTAACAAGGCACCTCCAACTATACTAAAAAAAAATTACTATAAGATTACTATATATATATATATATATATAAATATATATATATATATATATATATATATATATATATATATATATATATATATATATATATATATATATATATATATATATATATATATATATATATATATAATGTTGGTTTAGTGAAAGTAATGACAAAAGTTTTTTATCCTCATCATCATTATCATCATTAACAAAATAAATTGTTTTTATTTTCAGTTTTCAAAATTTTCGTCCAAGATTGCTCAGATTTCTTCAAAGAAAAAAAATTGCAGAAAACAAAATGGTAAGAAAGTTTATTGTTAAGAGTTATTGTTTTATTTTTGAATTTTTTTTGTTTTTTTTTTTGTTTATTTTTATATTTTTGATGAAAATAATTACTTGCACTATATTATGCAAATGTTTGTAACTTAAATCAATTATTGTTTACCTATCTTGTAAATTAAATTACCTGAACCAAATAATTTTTTTAAAAATTTTAGCTTGCTTTATCAGAGCAAAGTTATGCAGACACAAAAAAAAATTGGTTAAAAAAAGTAGACAAGCTCGAAAACAATCAGAAAAGAAGGTATAATGGTTTTTGTTCTATATACATACTCTATAATAAATGCTCAAAAACTTTTAAAATGCACAAAAACTTTTTTGTTTTTAAATAAGTCTAAAAATGTCCTTTAAACAGTTATGTAAATGAAGCAATAGTATTTTCTTAAATCTTTCAGTGCTCAAATTAAGTGTATTAATTGCTTTTCACGCCTTTGTGATTATTATTTTTTTTAAACTGCACTTTTTTAGATGTAATTTCTGATCGAATTGACCATTCTCTCTCTTTACCCATCTTCCAATATTGTTTTTATTGGTGACTTTAATGATCATCACTCTGAATGGCTTAGCTCTAATGCCATTCACCCTGCTGGCACCAAAGCCTATAACTTCTGCATTTCTCAATCTTTTACTCATATAGTTAACTTTGTGACTGGTTTTCCTGACAACCATGATCAATTACTTTCACTCCTTGATTTATGTCTTGTCTCTAATCCTAGCTTTTGTTTAGTCTCCTTCTTCTACTTACTACTTCCCTAAAGCTGACTAGGATTCTTTTAATGATTTTTTTGTGATTGTCCTTGGCAAATGTCTTTTCTATCTAAGATAAAAAAATCCACTCCATAACCTCCTGGATACAGGTAGGAATAGAATTTGTTGGATAAAAAATTTTATTTGTCAATTAGGGCTAGAAAATGGTGTCCTATTTTTGTTTTAAGATTAATTGTGGTTTGTTTTTATTATAGCTTTGTTCTGTATCCCTATTTTTTTAAAGCTTCTTCATACAGTAGAATACAGATACAGTAGTAGCCTACAAAGTTTTATTGATTGACTTGGAAGATTACCTTTGTTTAATATTGCTAGGGATACTTTTATTTTGCTTGGAGGGTGGTTAAAATTTAAGTGGATGTACTTTATTTTATTATCAGGTTCACAATATGATTGGAATGTATTGTTATAAAGAGTTAATGTAATCAAGGTAGTTAACAACTCTTAAAATTGAATGGTGATTCAATTTAAAAAAATGGTGATTCAAAGATCGTTTCTTTTAAAAATATGTGTTAAGTGCTTTTCAATTCTATCCTTTTGCTGATCATTTTTGTTCCTAAATATAACAAGACCGCCATCATTATATAGGTCTATATAGTTTTTCAATATAAAGCAACATGTAATAGAAAAAATTTCTGACTACTGTCCAAGAGTTTATATACAGATGTGCACAAGATTTTGTACATTCTACAAAATAATTGCTCAATTTTGTTTAAAAACACAGCAGAAATAAATTAGTAAAAAAAATAAGCTCATCTAACACTAGTATATTTAATATATGAATATCAATAAATTCTCTAAATACTTATTTTTTTATTAATTTAAGAAATTTTTGGTAGATACTAGCATCTTCAGCTTTAATTACAAACAATTATTTATACTTAATTAATGGCTTCCCTAAAGTTTGCTTTAAATATGCTTCTTTTTGCCTACGCAAGTATGTAAGTTTTGCTATGTTTCTTTGCTACCAGTCTCCACTTCCTTACCAGTCCTCACTTCTTTTGCAGGAAAAAGATGAAAATTAAAGAATGCAAATAATTTAATTGTAATTTTTGTGTACATAATGAAATGTATTTAACATTAAATATTATAAAGTGTATTTTATAGAAAAAATTAATTTAAAATATTAAAAAATTTAAAAATTAATTAAAAAATTTTTTTAAATTAATTTAAAAATTTAAAATTAATTTAAAAAAATTTAAATGATATTAAATATATTTAATTATAAAAAAAATATTTAAGGCAAAAAGTGCAACGAGTTCGTCAGTTTTATGAAAAAGAATTTCCTGAAATCAAGAAGTTACGAGAACAGCAAGAAAGAATTGATAGGTGATTATTACAATTATTATTTATAATATTGTGTTTTGTTATCAATAAGTTACAAAATCTTTTTTTTTTAATATTAATTTACCTCCCCAAGACCGACAAAGCCACTGCAATCAAGGTGGCTACTTTAGTTGTGATTACAACCCGCTTTCAACTCTATAACTCAGAAACACGAACCTTGACAAAAAACTGCGACTGAGAAACAAGTTGAGTGAAGTACTACCAGGAAATGGGTGGGGATCGAACTAGGAACTTCTCGTTTTTAAGGCAAGCATTCACCACTACACGACTACCCCATATTTTTTGAAGGTCATTGCTTTTACTTTCAAAAACTAACAGCAAAAGTTGACGGTTATAGCCAGACACAAGTTAACAATTTTATTTAGATAAAAATGTTTGTCAAAGTTTATTAAATTAAAAGTTTTGTCAGAGATGTTAAATAAAATCAAAACTTAATTGTTTCAACTTAATTTTAAAATGCAGAATGAAATTTTTTTCCTTTTTTAAAAGTTATAATAACGAAATCTAATATAATTACATTATAATTTTTGACATTAAAATATATTTTATGTTATGTTATGCCATTTCTAAATGTTTTATAGATTTAAAAGACATAAAATTTCATATCAAATTTGATAAAATAATTTCACATCAAAAATTTGACTTTCTTTATTTAATTTAAGTTAAGTTGATCATTTATTGTTATGTTTTTTCAATTTTTTAATTTTTTTTGTTTTAATAATTTTTATAGGCTTGGTTCACGTGCTGTAGGAGCAGGATATGTGCGAAGTGAGGCTGAAATTGAAGAAATTACAGAAATAAATGCAAATAAGAATCTTGTTAGATTGCTTTCTATTCAAACTCCAAAGTTATTAAATAACTATGAAAGGCGTTTTCGTTTTCTAAATTATAATTCATTAATACAAGATGTAGATGAGTTTGAGATCCAGAGGAAATCAGCTATTTTATGGAGTGATAAAGAGAAACAGATATTTAGAGAAAAATTCACTCAGTTTCCAAAGGATTTTGAAAAAATTGCTTCTTTTTTGGAGCAGAAGAAATGTGCTGATTGTGTTCTTTTCTATTACCAAAATAAAAAGAAAGAGGGCTTTAAATCGTCCAAATTAAAATCAAAAAAAAAAGGGAAACTCAATAGAAGTGAAAATAAAATAACATTACGAATGGAAAAGTCTAAACCAAGCAAGTCAGAAAGAGAAGATGATGATGAGGGGAATGAATCTGCAGCAAGTGATGAAGAAAATTTAGAATCCTGTCAATTAAAACAAGTATCAACAAGTAATTCTGATCTTGTCATGATAAAAAAACCTTGTACATTAACAACATGCACAATTGAGAGTTCAACTAAAACAACAACAGTAATTCCAGATGCACTTAACTGTGAAGCCCAAGGTTTAGAGAATAAATCAATTGCTGAGAATAAATCAGTTTGCGAAAAACCAAAGAAAATGATTTTTCTTAATGATGCATCCAAAGAACTCAAAAGTCCTCAACCTTTAGTTAAAGTCTTTAACACTCGCTCGGGAAAACTTTCAAAGAAAACGGCAAAATTATCACTCATGTTAGAAGATTCTTTTGAAGCTACGCCTAGTGAAGTTCCCAATCCTCCTTTAAAAATTACTATTTCTGTAACTTCTCCTTCATGTATTGATGTTGGCAATCCAGCTTTACCATCTTGCAGTATTGTATCTGAAACTGTAACTGCTGCATTAGTACTTAATAATCCAGATGATGTTCCAGTTGAAAATTCTGTCATAAAGGTTGAAGATTTAATCAGGCAACATTTTAGCACGATGCCAGGTTTGAAAATGCTTCTATAATATATTTGTAATATATAATCATCTCACTGTTTTTCATATAATATGGTTGTAGCCATTTTTAGAGCATAGTGATCCATCTCGTTGGTCCGAGCAAGAAATGTTGAAAGCTGTAGAAGGTAAGAAAACAACATAAATCATTTTGAAAAATGATATACTCTTTAGCATTTCAAAAATAATTTATAAATTAAAAAAATGTGTAATGTGTTATAATGATTTAAATGGTTTAAAAATTAACCATTATCTCCTTTAAGTGCTTCTTTATGTTTCTCCTTTAAGTGCTTCTTTATGTGTCTCCTTTAAGTGTTTCTTTATGTGTCTCCTTTAAGTGCTTCTTTGTTTCATTTAAGTGCTTCTTTATATGTCTCCTTTAAGTGCTTCTTTATGTATCTCCTTTAAGTGCTTCTTTATTTATCTCCTTTAAGTGCTTCTTTATGTTTCTCCTTTAAGTGCTTCTTTATTTATCTCCTTCAAGTGCTTCTTTATGTTTCTCCTTTAAGTGCTTCTTTATGTGTCTCCTTTAAGTGTTTCTTTATGTGTCTCCTTTAAGTGCTTCTTTATGTATCTCCTTTAAGTGCTTCTTTATTTATCTCCTTTAAGTGCTTCTTTATGTTTCTCCTTAAAGTGCTTCTTTATATGTCTCCTTTAAGTGCTTCTTAATGTGTCTCCTTTAAGTGCTTCTTTATGTCTCCTTTGACTACTTTATTGTCAAACACAATTTAATTTTTCAAGGTTTAAAGAAATATGGTAGAAGTTGGCCATTAATTGCAAAAATTGTTGAGAGTAAATCAGAAGGCCAGTGCAAAAACTTTTATTTTAACTACAAAAAAAAATTCAACTTGGACAAGATATTAGGGATATATAAGGTATTTTCTTTTATCAAAATGATAACTTTTTTTTGTGTTTGAGGTGGGGGGGGGGGGGGGGAGGAAAGAGATAAAAAGTATGTTTTAGAAATAAAATATTTAAAAAGAATTAGGGATATATTAAACATAAATCTTTTAGAAATGAAGTAGATTTGTCTTGTTTAAAACTGCATTAAATATTTTTTTTTATTAGCTGAAAGATGATTCAATTTGTTTAGAAGAGGAAGGGAATGATGATGACTCAAAAACACATTTTGTATTTAAAATTTTTAATTTCAAATTTATTATTATAACTTAATAAATAATAAATATTTAAATTATAATTTACTTTAACAATAATATTGTATTGTAAATTTTGTTATACATTTTAAATTTGTAAATACGTGGGAATAACTAGGTCTCAATAAATGCAAGATTGATAAAAATGTTTGTCCTTTAAGAACTTTATGTAAATATTCTGATTCGAATGAAAATTCTTACTTTTTTAAGAACTTTATGTAGATGTTGTGATTCTGATGAAAGCTTTTTTCTATTTGGTTGCTAGCTTGAGTTATTATTTTGAAAAAATTTTCATCTGATGAAGGATAAGTCTGGTAAAAATTCTTACTGCTTTTACTAGGTTGCTTACTTTAGCTATTAATTTGAAAAAATTTTCATCTGCTAAAGTAAAACAGACAAAACAATTTTTTCAAAGTTTTAAAGTTGATTCTTTAGTTACTGACAAAGTTTTAATAAAATGTTATAAACTGATAACAATCAGTAACACTATTTATTTCGGCATACTTTAATTTCATTTTTGAATGGATTTCAACAACAACAAAAAAATTTTACATTTTTTTTTTAGTTTTTAAATACTAATGTAAACTAATAAATATCAAAATCTCCTTCTATATCAAACACATAGAGACAGCTTTTTTCGCATACTATTTGTTTGTTATACGTATGACAGCTTTTTTTGATACTAGTTGTTTGTTATATGTATGACAACTTTTTTCTCAGACTATTTGTTTGTTATATGTATGACAGCTTTTTTCTAATAATAGTTGTTTGTTATATGTATGGACAGCTTTTTTGTAATACTAGTTGTTTGTTATATGTATGAACAGCTTTTTTCTGATACTAGTTCTGATACTAGGCAGGAGTTAATAATTTTGATTTAAAACTAATGATATTTATGGTTCTCTCTTAAGGTTTTCAGTTATGAACAATTCAACTGATTTTTTTCTAGTCAATTTTTACTTTAGGTTTTTTACTAATTAGATACTCTTTCCAATTTTTTTCCTTTATTTTTGATTCAAGCAAATAAGTATTGATTACAATCTACTACCTAACGTACCTATCTTAGTAAAATCTTTTTTCTTGGTACCTTCTAAAATTTGGTTCTTTTTTGTTTAGATTCTTATCTACTGTTGTTTTAAAAATGCTCAAACTTTCCTTATTTCTACAGCAAGAGGTAAATCATTATTCTCAGTGATGTTAACAGTCAAGATTCTTTTATAATTCTCTGCTTTAACAAGTTGTTAATAATGATTTTGCTGTAATGATTAAATTGTTCATCTTTTTTTATTAGTTTCTGTTAATAATTAGATTGTCTTTTTTGGCTTCAAATTTTTAATTTTTTTATTACATGCATGTAGTGTTATTATGTAGGTGCTACATATATTAAGATGATGTCAAAGGTCAAGTTTTATTATATGGTTGTAAACCATTGTGGCTTTATCAATTCCTACTTTTCAATAAATTTTTTAAAGGTTTTCTGTTGACATATTTATCAATCTTGAATTTATTGACGGCTAGTGACTGTTGAAAATTAAAAATTATTTTTTTCAGTTTGAATTTAAAAAAATCGATGACCATAATAAAGTTTATAAAAAGACATCAAAAATTTATGAGGAAAATAGTCATTTTCAATCAGAAACATATGCTTCTGAAAATATATTTGGAGAAGATAGCGTTATCAGGGAATCAATACACCATCAGTCTGAAAATCAAAAGTTTATAGATAATTCTATTAAGAATGTTCATATAATTAATGCTACAACAGAAGATAGACCCGGTAAATGATTTTTTTGTTTCTGTGTTTACTCCAAATCTTTATATGTATATGTTTGAGTGATGTTTGCATGATATATGTGTGATTTTTGAGCGATTTTGTTCTTGAACTAAAGTTGTGGTGTTGGTCTTAAACATAAGTTGTAATATCTGTATTAAGTATAAATCATTTTATGATCTAAGCCATTTAAATTTAATATATTAGAAAAACATCCTCTATTTAATCTTCTTTCCTCCTATTATCATTTGTTTTGTATTTTTCTGAGACATAAAATATAAAACTGATAAAAAAATATATTTTGTTACCAACCCTCATTTTGTTACTAACCCTCCTGATTATTAGTAATATAAAAACTTTAATCATGTTACAGGATAATTAGTAATCTACTTTGCTAGCATTATATTCATGTCATTGTTGTATATGCCAATATCCAACAGTTTTGGTTTTTAAGTCTCTGCATGTTTGTTTGCAACTAAAATCTTTTTGACATTAGACACTAGACAAAATATTATTAGTTGATGTTGCCATAGTAATTTTTTTTTCAATGCAGTAGTGGTGTAGTGGTTGAGCGCTCACTTCATAAGTAAGAAGTTCAGAGTTCCATCCCCAAGCATGTCTCTGGTAGTACTGTCCTCAACTTGTTTATCCGCACAGCAGCTTTGTTTGTCAAAGTTTGTGTTTTGGAATTGAAGAGTTGAGAGAAGGTTGCAACTGCAATAAAATAGCCTTCTTGACTGTAGTTTCCCTCTCAACCAGAAATAAAACTATTTACTGGAAAAATATTTTTGTATGTTAGTATGAAGTAAAGTCTTAATATGCATCAAGATTTATGCTCATAATTTATACATATTTATAATTATTTATTCCTGTAAGTTTAACTATTTTTAGATGAAAGCAAAGTTTCAGATATCTCATCAAAACCTGCAATATTGCAACCACCACCTTTGGCACTGGTAACTTCTATTAAAATATTTTGATTTTCATTTCTAATGTAATCACAATTAAAAATTAAAAATATTTTTGTTTTAAAGACTCCATCAGAAGATACTGGTATTGAGTCAGTACTAGTATTGAAAAATGAAGAGCTATCAAATAATCACCTGTCCAGCACATCACTAGAAAATCTAAATAAACAAGAAAATTTTAAAGGGGATTCAAACTATTTTTATAACTACCATTCTTATATTAAAGAAGAGCAACTTTCTCATAAGCAGCCGACTTCAGAAAGTTCTCCAAACCACTCAATAGTTCATCCATTTAATATGCTACAACAAAAGCATGCTGAGCAAACTTGTCATCAAAATTTGTCTTATCAGTATAAACAAAATGATTCATTTCAGCTGTCACCAAATTATTTTTTTTCAAATAACCGTGGTAATTCTATTTTTTCTCATAAACATATTGCCCTAAACAGTCCAAATAAATCTGCTTCAGATTTTTGCGAAATGCATAAACATGTTTCACCTGATGCACTTAGGCAACCAAGTTCTTTTTTTCAAAAAGAATCTCTGCAAAACCAAGAAACCCAATTATCTGCTCCACGACAAAATACCTTCTCTACTTTCATGACACATCATCATGGTGCAGGTGTAGTTGATCAAAAATCTGCTATTAATGCGTTTACATCTAGATTTCCTGGATATATGTCATCATTACAGCTACACGGTGTCTCTTCTGATACGCCTTTTGCAAGATTTCGTTTACCACTTTCTCCCTCAGATAACACTTCTCGAATGTCAAGCCCATTAAGTTCACAGTTTCCTCAAGTTTTATCACCTATGATTAATTTGAACCGCTCCACTCAAATGCAACATCCGCTGCAACACTCGCCAATGCAACACTCACCAGTGCAATTATTTTTTAATCCATATAGTTTAGAAGACTCACAAAAACAACATGATGTTGACTTGATTCATTGTCAGCGTGATCGCGAGTTTGATTTAGATGCAAGATGCAAACCGGATTTAATTCTGAAAAGAGATATTCAATCTGAGGTATCGCATAAATTAAGAGATATTCAATCTGAGGTATCGCATAAATTAAATGAAGAATCTCAAAAATCTATGCATAGTTTTAGAATGAAGGACATTGATGAGCAATCTCGCCTACACATGAATCACAGTTTGTATGATCGCAAAAGATCTGGAGACATTAATTTAAATCAGCACCACTACCAGATCGAGAATGTTGATTATCATCACAAAGATTCTATAAAAGATTCAGATGAATTTCTTCGTCACCTGCCGTATCAACCTAGATCAAAAACTGAACGAATTGAACGTTCTGCTTTTATCCCAGAATTACAAAGACATTCTTTAAAATCTAGGGAACCCCATGGCTTTAAAGCTGACAGGCGTAAGTTTTCAGAACCAAGTGTTGACAGTTCTTCAAGATATGTATTCTTAAATGATCGGAAGTTGTTTGAAAATCAGCACCAAAGAATAAAAGATGAGTACTCAAGTGTTAAAAATCATACTTTTGGTATTCAGAACTTATCATCTGATGCGTTACCGCGATCTTGTACTGATGGCATGGTCGGAAATATTGACGAGAAAAAAGGAAGCAGCATAGAAATAAGCGGAAATAGAGCATTTAATTTATCTTTAGCAGCGACTATGGCAGCAGAAAGTCCAACAAAATTTCACAGCAATGCAAAATCTCTCCATAAAAGTCATACCTACCCGTCATTGAACCGGAATCAAATGCCACCTTTTTTGCATCGACAAGCCACTCCACCTGTAGTGGGGTTTATAGGTCCAGGAGTTTTAAGAGAAAATGAAGTTGGGAATATAAAACAAAATGCTGCAAAGATAGTGCGTCCTTGGGAAATGAATTCAGATATATCTCAACGAAATGAAATAAATAACACTTCTATATCTAATCAAAATCTTTCTCCTCGTGTGAATATAAATGCTGTCAATTTACAGAATAGTTACTCGTTATTAGCAAATAATGAACTTTCGGATAATAGTTTCTTGATGAATAATAGATTTTTTCAACCATTTGATTCCCAGAAAGAAATGCAGTCAACAAATAAATCTTTCAAATCATCTCCAACTGTAGGAGTTGATTGTACAGTGAACATGTTAGGAAAAAAAGAACATAGACAGACTCCAAATGAATTAAATTGTCCAGTTATTCAGTTGGCACCTACATCCGTTAAGTTTAAAGAACAAATAATTTCGTTTGCTCAATATAATAGTCCAACTCCTCAGTCATTTCCAAAGTTTCCTTTTAACGATAGTTCAGAAATAAACGTAAATTTTCCAACGAATAAACACCTTATAAGCCAATCTGTTTGTTCCACTGACCTAACAATTCCTGATAAAAATGTCTCTTCATTGAATCTTTCTCAATCAGAACAGCATTCCTACAGAAAATCTCTAATTTCAAATGAAGATAAACCTGCGTTTGAATCTCCTCAAAATGAACATATTTCTCGTTTAAGAAGTGACTCAGAGGAAACGGTTTCGTCGGATGAACTTGATAAGGGTGTAAGTCAAGAATGTCTTGAACCCTCGCTGTTAATACAAAGACTTTTAAATAAAAATGACGATGAGTTTCAAAATGTAGAGCCAGATGGTAAATCTTTATCTGTTACAAGTAAAACACGAAATAGAACGGCAGACAATTTAAAATTAAACACAGGCTCACAAGAAATACTGTCCGTTCGAGACGATGTTATGAAGGATTGCGCAAGTTTCCACGAACCAAAACATTTAACCGAGCTAATGGCTTCAAATAATACTACTGAAAATATAGAAATTAAAAAACAAACAACATGTTCCGCTAATAGTTTTCGATTTTCTGAAAAAGAAGCGTTACTTGATAATAAAATTTGTGTGGTAGATAAAACCGAAAGCCCGCACACCGTTTATCGGTACGAAACGTCCAAAAAAATGGACAAATCATTTTCGTCAGAAAATTTCGATAAACCAAAAATGAAACGTTGTGATTCACCAGACATATATGATGATTTGAAAGTGCATAACTATGAGGAACAACGAGCCGAGTCACCAATGGATCTGTACATTGCCGAAAATCTACAACCTCGCGAAACTGCAATTTTTGTGAAAAAATCCCCAAAAACTGATGATCTTTTTTATATATTATCCCAGGATATTCTTGTAAAAGAAAATAACGTTGAAGGTTCTAAAGAGTCTTTTTTAGAGGCACACATTGAAAATAATCAGGAGTTGAATAATGGAGATAAAGAAATTGAAGTTATTAATTCTAAAATTGAAACGGATTCTAACAAAAGCCACCGCAGCGATGCAAATACTCCGGTTATGGATGAACCAATCAATGATACAAGTGACCCATTATCGATAAATAACGAAAGTTGCATTGCGTCGTTACCCTGCGCTAGTCCTTCGACTCCCGAAGCTCATACACCGTTACTTGATGAGCCAGCTTATAGTTTTGAACAGACAGAAGAATTATCTACTCATTTTAGTGGAAGTAGTTTTGAAAAATTTATGACTTCCTCTGCAACCACTTCATCGCATAGCCTGAAATCAGAAGTTGCAGCCGAGAATACTTCATCCTCGTTATTCATGAGATCGGATAAGTACACCCATCCTAAGAATGATACTGCTCAGAAAGATGGTGTTTTTGAATCTATTTCTCCTCCTTGCTCTCCTGGGCGTGTATCTTGCCAAAATTTTCCACTTTCAAACAGCTCTATTATTGCTTTTCCGTTTTCAGCATTAGCATTTAATGTTAATAGTTCGAGACCTGGTTCACGATCAAGTATACACTCTCCTCTACCCATAGAAGGCACATCTCCTCGAGTTGATGACTATAAATCAAAACAAAGAAGAGATTCTCATGATTTAGAAAATAAAGAGTTTGATCAGACAAGTAACCAACAACATCAGACAAGTAACCAACATTTTGAAGGAAAAAAGTTGTTACAAAGGACTTATCAACGATCCATGTCTCAAAGCTCGTCAAATAATAGTTCAAAATCTCCTGAATACGAATACAAATCAAAAAACAAACAATCTGGTAAATTTTCCCATTCAGTTGGCAAACGTCCTTTTCATGAACGAAGGTATGATCAAGTAAGATCATACAAACGACATTCTCGGTCACCTGAAAACGAAAGAAACAAACGAATAAGAAAATAAATTTGAAAAAATGTTGTGGATTTAAAATATACCGAGTGATTGAATAATAATTGTTTTTGTTTCTTTGTGTTATTTTGTGTAATTAAATTTATTTATATTAAATTAACTTTTTAAAAGAAACGCGAGAATGAGTTGTAATTTTAGGTGAGAGACAGAAGGAAATGGTTGGCTAGATTTAAGTTTGGAGAGTTAATACGCTGCGTAGCTTAAGATCTAAAATTATGCGAATGAAAACATTTCTTAGAACGTAATAAGTTTAGTCATGCCACACTTTTACGCTAGATTTTCCCCTGAAATAACTTTAAATGTTTGTAACTTTATTAGACTTTTTTATTTTATTTTGTTTAAGTCTGTATATCAAAATTCAAAAAATTTTAAATATTTTATAATTTTAAAATAATTTTTTTTTTTTTAATTAAAAGAAAAAAATTAAAAGCAGTTTTAAGCAATTTTGTACAATTAGAGTTCCACTGGGGTTCAAGTAAAGTTGGTAGCTTCGAATGAATTATATTCTTTGTTGATAAACTAGTAATAGGGTAGATTAGAGTAATATGAGCACCTTAAGCAAAAATTGAAATATTTTCAAAATTAATTATGCTGATCTAAAATTTTTGCGAATACATATTTTTTAGGGATCCCTAGTCATGATCCATTTAGATATTTGGACATCCGAAATTTTTTCTTAAAAAAACAGAGGTTTTAAAAAAGTAATATGAGCTCTTTAAATTAGCAAAAAAAGAAGACCAATATATATAGAAAAACTAATTAACATACTCGATTATTATTATCGATATAATTATAATCGATATTGGAATCGCTAACTCGATACTTTATCAGAAAACTTAAAACCAAAAAAAATAAACATAAAAAGTCTCGTTAATATTGTTTTTGAATAATCTTCTATTAATCTGTTAACTTTGATTATCTGATTACAAATCCTTACTTGGCATACATTAAAAACATTTCTATCAGACTCATAATATAAAAAACTTGATCAGGCAGTATTTTAAGAACCTTCAAAAATAATTAACTAAATAAAAAGTAAAAATTTTATTTGCATGATCTGATATAGAAAATTGTCTGTATATTTAACATAGTTAAGGCGAATTAGTAAAACTTAATTCGAATTTTTTTATAAAAAATCTCATCTTTGACAATCTTTAACTCAATGAATGAAATAAATGAAAATTTATTTTTGTACAAAACAACTACTCTTTGTGTTTTAAAAAAGTTTTTATTTTTGTTGTTGTTTATACAGAACTTAAGACTTATATAAAGTTTTTTCTTGAACTTCTTTAGGATTTTGCTCAGTCGGTTTGCTTCAATTTGTTTTAAATAAAATTAAAAAACGTCCTTGTTTTGGATGTATTTTCTTGTTTTGGATGTATTTTTGTATATATATTTTGGATGTATTTCCTTGTTTTGGATGTATTTTTGTTTTGGATGTATTTTCGCGGAGATTTTGCGGAAACAAGACGTGTTTTTTATTAGCGATAAAATTTACATAAAAATGGATATTACAATGAAAAGCATCGAAAAAATTATCACAAAACAACTCGAGGAACACAAAAAAAGTATTCTTAAAGAAACTGAACGACTACTTAAAGAGCAAGAAAAATCATTTACTTTAATAATGAGTGCAAACCTCAAAATTATAACTGATAGACTAGACACAATAGAGAAAGACAACAACAACAACAAGTCGAAAATAAAGAATATCAAAAAAGACCTGAACGAAATAAAGGACAACCTCAGTTTTCAAGAGAATAAAACTTTAGAAAACATTTCACACTTAAAAAAATATTATGACAATCAAATAAATACATTATATAAAAAGTCAATAGACTTGGAAAATCGTTCCAGAAGAAATAATCTAAGAATAGATGGACTAAAAGAATCTCCAGGAGAAAGCTGGGATGATTGTGAAAAAGAGGTAAAAAAATTCTTTAATAATCAATTAAAAATATCAAAGGAAGTCGTTATAGAAAGAGCACATCGCATCGGTCAAAAAAAAGATAATAAACCAAGAACAATAGTTTTAAAACTCCTGAACTTTCACGACAAAAACAAAATACTCAACTCATTAACTCATCTTAAAGGGACTGGCATTTACATAAACGAAGATTTTGCCCAAGAACCTAACGAACATCGAAGGAAGCTTTGGGAAGAAGTGAAAAAATTACGCAGCGAAGGTAAATACGCTATTTTAAAGTATGATAAAATTTTTAGTCGAGATTTTAAAAATACGCGCTTTCAAAAATAACTTTACTCAAATCGAATTCTATTAAAAAAAAAAAAAAAAAATTGATTTAATTCTTTTTTCGTCATGGCTAATGATTTTATAACAAAAGATTTTAATAAGTTGCGTTTTGACTTTTTTAAAACTCAAAATAATATCTTTGCGAATAATTTATACGACGACGATTTATTTATTTTTAATGGACCTGACTCTCCATACTTTGATACTAAAACTTTTAAAGCTGAACTTCATAACAATATAGACGAGTTTACGGTAATACACATAAACATTAGGAGCTTAAATACAAATATCGATAAGTTAAAAATTTTCCTTTTCGAATGCAAATATTCCTTTAGCATGATTTATCTTACAGAAACTTGGTGTTCTGACGAAAATTCTTATACAAATTCAAACCTCCTAATCCCTAATTATAATCTTATTTCTTATGAAAGAAAAGCTAACATAAGAGGAGGTGGAATAATAACCTACATCCATAATGACTTAAACACAAAAATTAGAAATGATCTTTCTATTTCTGATTCAAATAGTGAGGTCTTTACAGTTGAAGTCATTAATGATACTACAAAAAATCTCTTAATATCCTCTTGTTATAGACCGCCCGATGGAGATATTATAATGTTTTCAAGTTTTATGAAACAAATATATACAACAAGCAATGTTGAACATAAAAAGCTATTCTGTATTGGTGACATGAACATAAATTACCTAAGCTATCATGAACACGCTAATATCAAAATTTTTTTCGATGATATGATACAACATTACATTTTCCCAATTATAAACAAACCCAACCGGGTAACTACCATCTCAATTACAGCTATTGACAATATATTGACAAATTCAATTCAAGATCCATCCTTAAAAGTAGGAATAATTAAAACGGATATATCTGACCACTTCCCAATTTACTTCTCACTATCACAACAAGCAACACGTGTCAATAACTTGAAAATAAAAATCATCAAAAGAAGCATAAATAAATTCTCGACCCAAAAACTAAAAGACTCACTAGCGGTAGTAAATTGGTCAAAAATATATCATGAATGTAACCTCGGACACACAAATTCCGCTTACAATAATTTTATAAATATTTTCCTAAATCTCTACAATAAACATTTTCCAAAGGTCGAAAAAGAAATTAAAGCAAAATACCTAACCACTCCATGGATTACCCAAGGAATAAGAAAATCGTCAAAACAAAAACAAAAACTCTACATAAAATATATAAAAAATAGAAACCATTTTAATTTGTCTAAGTATAAACAATATAAAAATCTATTTGAAAAAATAAAATTAAAATCCAAAAAACTATATTTTTCAAAGCAAATACAAAAATTTAAAGGAGATAATAAAAAAATCTGGGATATTATAAAAGAAATAATTGGTAAAGATAAAAAAAACTCGAACCAACTACCTCCAAAGGTTCTCATAAGTGAAAAAGAGTTTAATAATAAAAAAATTATCTCTGAAAAATTTAACAAATACTTTGCAAGTATAGGTTCCAAACTCGCCTCTAAAATTCAACCTACAAACAATTCATTTGAGAATTACATCGAGGACTCTCGTTGCTCCCTAGTTTTTAAAGAACTAGAATACGAAGAACTTGAAACAGCAATTAAAACATTAAAAATTAACAAAGGTCCAGGTATTGACAATATCCCAGCCAATATTATTTTGAATGAATGCGGTAGTGGTGTAGTGGTAAAGCGCTCGCTTCATAAACGAGTGGTTCCGAGTTCGATCCCCACCACGTCCCTGGTAGTACCGCGCTCAACTCGTTTCTCCGCGCAGCGGCCTTGTTCGTCAAGGTTCGTGTTTCAGAGTTATAGAGTTGAGAGAAGGTTATAGCTACAAATAAGTAGCCTCCTCGTCTGTAGTGGCCTTCTCGGCCTTGGGGAGGTGAATTAAAATAAAATAAAAAAATAAAAAAAATAAAAAATGTCTTCCCAGAAATAAGTAAACCCATTTTTCAAATATTTAACTCTTCAATAATTACAGGAATTGTACCCGACTATTTAAAAATAGCTAAAATTATTCCTATCTATAAATCCGGAGATACATCTTTCTTAAATAATTACAGACCAATATCAATCCTTCCCGTATTTTCAAAACTGCTCGAACGAATAATCTACAATCGTTTATATAAATACCTAACCACAAACAAAATCCTGAATGAAAACCAATATGGTTTTCAAACTCAGCACTCGACAGAGCATGCTATCGTAGACCTCGTCAATAGAATTAGTGAATCAATCTATGAAAAGAAGTTCGTATTAGGAGTCTTTGTAGACTTGTCAAAAGCGTTCGACACAATAAATCATGAAATCCTACTAAAAAAGTTGGAAAAATACGGATTAAAAAACCATACACTGCAGTGGTTTAAAAGTTACCTGTATAACAGACAACAGTGTGTTATTACAGATGATAATTACCACAGTAAATTATTAAAATTAACTTGTGGTGTTCCTCAAGGTTCGATTATTGCTCCTCTTTTGTTCCTAATCTATATAAACGACCTTCCAAAAGTTTCTAGCAAACTTGAATTTATAATGTTTGCAGACGATACAAATTTATTTTACTCTTCGACAAACATCAAGGATCTGTATGATAATGTAAACATAGAACTCCAAAAATTAAATATATGGTTTAAAACAAATAAGTTATCGCTAAACATAGAAAAAACAAAATACACTTTATTTCACTCAAACCAACAAAGAAACACACTACCAAATATTCTACCCTCTCTAAAAATAGAAAATATAGTAATTGAGAGAACTCACGAAACTAAATTTTTAGGAGTTATAATTGATGAAAATTTATCTTGGAAAAGTCACATAAATGCTTTAAACACTAAAATATCAAAAAACATAGGTCTACTTTATAAAGCAAAACCTATGCTGTCGCAAAGTAATTTAAAACTTATATATTTCTCTTTTATACATAGCTACCTCATATATGCGAATATAGCTTGGGCGAGTACGCATATAACCAAATTGAAAACTTTATATCGACGTCAGAAACATGCTGTTAGACTTATCTACCATAAAGACAAATTTACACACACTGAACCCTTATTTAAAGAAATGAATGTGCTTAATATTTATCAAATTAATATTTACCAAAATATATTGTTTATGCTAAAATTTAAATTAGGTCAAGTACCAAACCATTTTTTAAATAACTTTTTTATAAATAACGTTAATAAATATAACACAAGAGAAAAAGGAAACTTTATTACACCTTTCAAAAAAACAAAACTTTCCCAGTTCTCAATTTCATATCGGGGTCCTTATTTATACAACAAACTAGTAACTAAAAATAAATCAATCTGCAATCTAGATTCAATTTGCAATCAAAATTTCTTGAAAAAAAAGTTAAAAAATCTGATACTGAATCTAAACAGATACTCAGAATTCTTCTAAGACTATAAATTAAAATACATATATATCAACTACAAAGTGAACTGACTCGTTTATGTGTATTATCTAAATGAATCTTTTTTTTTTTCTCAAATTTCTCAAACAATATATCAAAATGTGTTTATTACACACAAAAAAAACACTTGATTTTTTCTTATCAAGTTTAGTTATTATGCTGCTAGTTATGTCTAATATTTTATACTTATTTTGAGTTTATTTTTTATTATGAGCTAAATTTAAAGAATATATAAACATAGTTGTACTTAATATATAATTATATTTAACATAATCATAATAATATATCAAACACATTGTAAGGGCTTCGTGATAAGATCATTACGATCTTCTTGAAGTCCGGCCTGTACTATTTAATTATAAATTTCACTATATATATTTTGACTCACGAGACTTGTAAATATTAATTTACGAAACTTGTAAATGTTATATGTACGGCAAATATATGAATAAAAAAAAAATGTAATATAGATATATTGCCTAAAATAAAATCCTGAAAATAACTTGGTTGTTGAAACTAACAAACCGACTAACAACAATTTCTTACCTTCAATAGATTTGATTTTTCATTATGATATTTTTAAACATTTTTTTTTTTAATAAGTAATAATGACTAGAAATACGCTAACTTTTAAAGTTAAGTTATAATGACTAAAAATACGCTAACGATTAAAGAACATTCTGTTTAAAGTTTTCAAAGCGTCAAAACAGTAGTGTATTGAGCAACTGTGGCGTAGTGATAGTGCACTTGCTTTCGAAACAAAAGATCCGTGGTTCAAATCCCACCTCTGGGCAAGTTTTGGAATATTAGTTAGCAAGAAGGCGTGAAATTTCAATTATATGCTCATCCGGGGTGATCTGTGATAAGTTTGTTTGGACTTCTTTGGGCACCTAAATAAAAAAAATAACAATAAGTTATTACAATATACTATGGTATAAATATCTTTGTACATTAAATATCAGAACACAGAGACTCAAAGAGGATCGTAAGATCCTGTCACTGAAAACCGTTTAACAATGCTGTAAAAAATATAACCAGTTAAATAATTACAATAAATGAAGTTTAGAAATAAAATTTAAATCTAACCAGATATTTCAAAACATAAAATTACGTTTAACAACATAAAGAATATATATAAAACTAAATATTTCAAAATAAAAAAATATATTCAGGAATTGCACACTTTTTTAAAAAGTATAAACTCAAAAGAACTCAAAGATATTATCGACAAGATAACTTTTTTCAACTTAATTTTAAAACTGAGAAAATTCCAACTTTGAAAAAAATCAAAATTTTTCAAAACGATTTTGTTCCACAGAAGAGCTCCGCGATATGTTAGAAGAGATCTTCCAAAACTTGTATGAGAATAATGTTGATGAATAAGATTGTCATTTCTTAAGTCATATTTGTTTTTTTGTTTTATTGCATATAAATTTTGAAAGGATATAGGGGTTAGGTTTATCTAACATTTGTGTATAAATAAATGAACATTAAAAACATTTTGCTGGTATATATTAAGAACATTCATTTCCAATAAAAGAGGTCTGGCATGAGTATAACGATCTTTAAAGTTTATTAGGCGTGCTATATGCTTATGTCGCCGATATAGAGGATCTAATTGAATTTTATTAGTACTACCCATGCGATATTTGCATAGTTTATATGACATTGAATTAGCGAGTGATAAAGTTGAATTAATGAATGTTTATTTACAAAATTTCTCGCTTTATACATTACTCCAATATTTTTTGAAACTTTATTGCGCAAAGTTTCGATATAGTTTTTCCATGTTAGATTTTCATCAATGAAAACACCAAGGAAATGTATAACTTTTTATTTTTTTTATTTAAACATTGCCAATATATATTTTAGGCATATAATTTGGTAAAAGTTTTATTTGGGAATTTTGAATGAAATAAAGTCCATTTAGATTTCTCCAAGTTAATTGATAGTTTATTTGACTTAAATCAGTTAGAAATTTTAATTAGTTCTATGTTAATTTCTTTAAATAGTGTAATGATATTTTTACCGGATAGAAAAAGATTTGTATCATCAGCAGCCATTACTGTCTTCAAATTTGAGGCATCATGCAAATCATTAACATAAATGAGAAAATGTAGTAGCCCTAGTATAGACCCTTGGGGAACACCTCATGTTATATCTAGTAAACTTGTTGAGGAGGATACGTCAATTTGCACAAACTGTTTACGATTGCTTAGCTTTTTAGTAAGTTTAACAAATCTCCGCTGATTCCATAGTTTTTAAGCTTTTGTATAAGAATCTCATGATCTATCGTATCGTATCGTAGGCTTTTGATAGATCAATGAAAACTCCATTTGATAGACCAATGAAAACTCCAAATAAAAATACAACAAGGAGTTTTTCCTGATCAGTTCAAAATAGCCAAGATAATCCCAATCTACTAAAAAGGAAATAGAAATAATAAATGCAACTGCCGACCTACCTCTATTTTATCAACATTATCAAAAATCTTAGAAAAAATATTTACAATTACCATTCAATGCAAAAATAAGACATTTGCAAAAACAAAAATTATTTCCAAATACAAAACGATACAAAAAAAAGATTGTATACTTATTTTAATGACAAAAATTTTTTAAAAAAATTTTTGTCATTAAAGTTTTTAAAAAAAATTTTTAAAAAAAATTTTTAAAAAAATTTTTAAAAAAATTTCTTTCCTTAATCAATTTAAAATAAAAATAAAAAGTAAACTTTTGATAATTGACAATGAACTTGACTTCTTCTGAAACTTTTAAATAGGAGTAACCACTTGTTTTTTACTTGATATTTAATTTATTTTTAACATATTAATTTTTGATTTTAATTTGAATCTTTACCTTCTTAAATTATCATGTTTTATCTCATTTTTATTTACTATTAAAATTTGAAATCCTAATTAAAAAAAATTTTAAAAAATATTAAATTTTAATGAAAAATATTTAGATATTTGTATTTATATATGTACCATACGCATATATTATATTGTGATAACGGATTTTTTTTGGTTTTTTGTTTTGTTTGTTACTTATATTCTTGTTTGAAGGGGCTTGGCGATAAGACTGAATTTGTCTTCTTCTTGCCCCAGCCGTGTATATACAGTTTTTAAAGTCTAATTTTGTAAATATTTTCTTTATGGCGAAATATATATTATATTATATTATTATATTATATAAAACTTATTCAAAAATTTACAATTTAAATTTTTTTTAGATTTAACAAAAGCTATTTGATACAGTAAATCATGGCATTTTGATTCATAAACTTTTTTGGAGTGAATGAGTGAGTGAATGAGTGAATGACGTAAATTTAAAAAGATCTAAAAGTTGAAATAAGCGAAAAAAGTTTCGTTAATCCTTATCAAAATAATGTCTTAAATATTTCATGTGGTGTTTCGCAGGGAGCAATTTTGGGCTAAGTTCATTTTTTATTCTACTTAAATAATTTGCATAAAGCTTCTGATCTTTTAAGTATTATGTTTGCTGATGGTAGTAATATTTTTATCTAATAACAAAATTTTGGTGACTTACTTGACGAAAGTAGAGTTTATCATTGTTATTAACGAAATTGTTTTATCGGTAAGTTTTTTGGTAGGAGGATCCATTTAATCAACTTTCTATTTTTTCTTTTTCGAGTATTACAAGTTTTTGTATGTTTCAAGAATTGTGTGTTTCTCGCGTTTCTCGCGTTTCTCGCGTTTCTACTGCTTGGAGTATTGCGTGTAATTTTAAACTAAAAAAATATTTGTTAAACATTAGCATCATAATCCTACACGTTTATCAACTGAGTTTCGCTTACACAATCCCCAAAGTTCTCAGTTATTTTTGGCTGTTATTTTATCCAAATTTTTTAAAAAATTTGGATAAATAAAATTTATCCAGTTTTTAAAAAATTAATACTCTTTTTCTTCTTTTAAATCGTCTCAAAGTTCGTTCATCAGTTTGAATAAACACATTTTTTCTTCTTTTAAATCATCTCAAAGTTCGTTCATCAGTTTGAATAAACACATTTTTTCTTTTTTTAAATCGTTTCAAAGTTTGTTCATCAGTTTGAATAAACACATTTTTTCTTCTTTTAAATCATCTCAAATTCTTGACAATTAATAAAGACGCAGATACTGAAATATTGCTGTTTTGACCAATATGTTCTGGTCTAATAATTTTTTTATGTGTTTAGTGTGTGTATTTATATATGTATACAATTACATATATAAATACACACACTTGCACACATACATACATTTTGTATTTATATTATTGTATATATAAATTTTCCTTTTTTTTTTTGTAATATAAAGTTTTACTTTTACAAATATTTGAATTTTTATACTTTTAATAAATTATAATAAAGAATATAATCACCATATCAACAAGAATAAAAAAATAAAAATAATAAAAAAGAAATAAGTAGACTAGTTTAAATAAAAACTTAGTGTCTGATAGAAGACCATACAAAGTTCTGATAAAATATAACTTTAAGCCATGGTAAATACAAAAATAAATAATAATGACAAAATACAAAAATAAAAGAGTGTGTTTATATAAATTTCTAAGTTTTAAAAGTATTTCAAAAAATTGTCATTCAAGTGAATAAATTCTTTTAAGTTTTTTTTTTAAAGGCTGGAAAGGTAATTGATAAATCAAAATCAGGTAAAACAATTTTGTTTCAAAGATTAGAGATTAGGTGCATAAGCTATAAAGAACTGATTGAAATTTGTTTGACAAAAGGGCTCATAGAGTAAATTATCATTTCATAGTGTATATTTATTTTTTGTTTTTAAGGTAATAAAATCTTTAAAAATATGTAATGATAGATTGAAACATAAAAGGTAATATTTTATATCCATTCAAATCATAAATATTAAGTACTATAATATTTTAAAAAAAAATCTTTTAATGCGAAAGTCGATCTTCATAACAAACTAGACGTATTGCGTGTTTCTGACGATGTTAAAGAGTACGCAACTTACTTTTGCTTGTACTTACCCAAGCAATATTTGCATAGTAAATATAAATATGTATAAATGAGTAATAGCGTTGGATTAAAAAGCTTTTGTTTAAATAATTTATTGACTTATATAAGACTCCTATATTTTTAGAGACTTTAGTGCAAATGTAATCAACATGGGGTTTCCATGTAACATTATTATCAAGATAAATGCCAAGAAAACTTGTAAAAGTTTCCTTTTTAATTTCAAGTTCATTAATAAGAATTTTTGGCATGGTTGTTGGTAAAAAACTTTTTTTAGATATAGGGTGAAACAGAATGTATTTTGTTTTATCAAAGTTTAAGGTTAGTTTGTTACATCTAAAACACTCAGATACGCAGATACGCATTTAAGTTCTTTATTCATATCAGAATAAAAAATATTTCTAGCTGGTTCAAATGCAATAAATTTACCCTAAATACGAAGAAGACAAAATGAATTTTTCATTCAATAACTAAAAAACGATGTTTATCCTTTTCTTTTTTTTTTTTTTTTGTTCTTTATTACAATGTTTAAAGATACAAATCACAACCGACACCGCCCCCTCCCCATTCCACACTTTTTTCCTAAAGTACTTTTTTTTTTTAAGAAAATTCTAGATAAAGAGGAATTTTATTTTAAATTTTTTTAATTATTTTAAAAACTGACGGTTGTGCCCCTCCAATTTGAAACCCGTGTCATCGGCCCTGCAAATACAAATATACAAGAGAAAAATTACAAGTGAAATTACAAGAAAAATTACAAGTAAAGATATCGTAAAAATATATACTCAAAGAAGAACATCAGGTCAAGTCACAGAAAACCACTGACGAAGAACTTAAAACTTAAAATTATAAAAAGTATAAAAGTCGTTATGCAAATAAATTAAATCGTTCAGATTAAAAAATCCTTTCACAAATAGAAAATATAAAGAAACAAAAAATATACAAGTACTTGATTTAATAAATAAAATGAAAGCGGACACTCGGAGAAGACAATTAAGTTTTCATCGAGAACCGCTCTTAAATTTAAAAATCTCATAAAAAACAAATACATACATATATTGTCAAGTGTAACACAAGAAAAATTTAGGCGCATTTAAATCCGCTTAATAAATATGCACATAAATATTTATATACATATTTAATTGCATCACTGCATAAAAAATTAAAAAGTAAATTATTCAATGTTTAAAAATACAAAAATATATCATCAATAGACAAAATGATTTCTATAAGCTTTTTTTAAATGAGAGGTAACTCCATTCCAAAGAAAAATCAAAATGTTTTAAAACTATTTTATTCCAAAGAGAAGCTCCAGGTAATGAAATGCTTGATTTTCCAAAATTAGTTTGAAAGAATTATTGACGAATTAAATTGTCATTTCTTAAGTCGTATTTGTTTTTATCTTTTAAGGTATACAAATTATGGAAGGAAAATGGGTTGGAGTTTTACATTTGTACATAAAACAAATAATATTAAAAACATTGAGCTGATATAAAGCGTGTACATGAAATGTGAAAGTAGAAAAACAACTGAAAATTACTCTTTAATTTTTATTTCCAACCAAAAGTAATAAATTTAATACGTTAATAGAAGAAGATCAAATATAAAAAAAAAATTATTCCAGTAGGAATTTAATAAAATTTCGAACTTTTGCTTTGGTGGTACCAATAAGCATGTGCACAGATTAAGAATTGAAGCCATTTGATGCTTTTTTAAATGATATTTTAATATCTTTGTTTTTTTCATTTGTCTTTTCATAATGGCCCAGTACTTTTTAATAACTCTTAATTCTGGGCAGTTTGAAGGATTTTCTGTTTTAGGCACAAATTTCACATTATTATTTTTATACCATTCCAAAGCTAGTTTACAATAATGAATTGAAGCGCTCCCTTAGTAAAAGGCTTGAGTTAGTCTTAAAACTGTTAACCAGTTTTCTAACTAGTTTTTTATCTTTAAAACCCTTCTTTCTTCCACCACCAAATTTACGTTTGATCGATTTTGTCTTAGAAAAACGTTGGATTACACGACTAACGGTGTATTGATGTATTTGCAACGCTTTTGCGATCGAATTGTAGCTACTATTGGGATTTTCCAAATATTTGTTCATAACCTTTTCCATTGTGTCTTCTTCTTTTGTTATTTTTAAAACTAATTTTGAGTTAAATCAAAAAACTAATACATTTTTTTTGAAACCAAAACGTTGTAAACACGTTGTAAACACGTTGTAAACACGTTGTAAACACGTTGTAAACAAAATACAAAACAATTAAAAAGACTTTATAATCACTGAAAAAAAAATGACATACTTATTCTTTCACATTTATTTCATGTACACGCATTATATCATGAGTTTTTATTTCAAATAATAAAGGCTTGGGCATGAGCAAATCTATCTTTAAAATTATTAATACCTCAGAAAAACGCTATTATGCATTCAATCATATCTATGTGAATTATGCAAATAATGCTTAGGCAAGCACTGAAAAAAGTTACAATCTCTCTATCTCCATCAGAAACATGCAATACTTGTAATCAATTTAGCTGATCTTTTTTCTCATTCACAACTTTTTTCTAATATGATAACACTTAATATTTACGAACTCAATACTTTAGGCTTCGTATATATATGTAAACATAATCTTTCTCCTACTGTTTTTAATGATCTATTTACCTTGAAACCTACCAATAAATACTTTCAGAGAAATATCAACCTTCAATATGAGCCTTTTTGTCGAACATTTTTGGAATAAAATTGTTTTGCTTAAATTTAATTTAGATTTAATAATCTACTTTTTTCTTTGCAGAGTTTTTTTGTCCTTGGCCTTGCCTTAAGGTCAAAAGATAAGGGTTGGCCTTGGTCTTTGCCTTTAACATTTTTGCCTTGCCTTTGATTATTTAAGCTTTCCACCTTATTTTTGTTTGTATTGTTTTTATTCAACTTATATAAATCTGTTTAATAAGTTGTTAGTAATGAATATTTAACAGAATGTATATTTAACAGAGTTTTTTAAAATAATCTTATTTATATAATCTAATTTTAAACCAATAAGCAATAGTTTAGTTATCCTTTCTTGATACGAGCTATCAAAGATTTGCTCAAGAACAACACCATAAACCACTTTGACATCTACTAAAAATAGTGCTACACCTCAGATTCAAAACCAAAAAAAAAAGTGCATATTTGCAAATAAAAAAAATCATGTTTAACAAAATATAGTTTTGACAAACTATCTTAAACGAATAACTCACTGAAATTTAATCAAAAAAATTTTTTGTTAAAAAAAAAACTTTAGACAATCAAACAATATTCAATAATTGGAAATTTATATTTGACAAGTATTTCTGTGTCTCTGCAACGTTAATTTCTGTCAAGCGTACTTTTTGTCAGGGTAAATTGATAATGTACTCTCATAGAGTTCGTATGTTTGATTTATTTCTTAAAACTTTTATATTTCTTTATTGATTAAAACATGATGTTTCTTGAATGTAATAAAGACTTATAGCCTATATAGTGATAGTTATTGGCTATGATTAATAGCTTATATATAATATCAAATATAACATATAATATCAACATATTCTTACTTAAAATATGTAGTATTAGTTGTGTTATTTAAAAGTATTAGTATTAGTTTTGAGCATAAAGTACAAAAATACATAAAAATAAAGAATTAAAAGTTTTAATTCTTTATTTTAATGTATTTTTATCATATATATCTCCAAGTATATTTTCTTATTGTCGAATTGCGCGCAAAACCTCAGTCTAATTTTGCAATAAGGTAAGCTAAAAAAACTTGTCTTGAAAACTAGGAAACGGCTGGGCGTGCAATAGTTGAGGGCTTGCAATAGTTGCTCCATAACCTAGTTAGTTATTGTGGAAAATGCTTTGAATTTCGGAAGTCATCTTGTGGTGCCTGAGGGCGTCCC